AGTTTTAAATGAATTGCTATCTAAATATTCTCCGGCTAATAGCCAGCTAATACCACTAAAAAACCAATGGGAAGACTTAAACAAGAGAAAAAGTTTTAAAAGGCAAGTAACTGAATATTGCACCGAGCATAAAGGAAAAACTTTTGAAGCAGAAAAACAGCCGACTTGATGCCTAAAATGTAAGGTTGATTATTCGGAAGACTTGACCGATGATGAAAAAGAAGCCAACAAACCCAAAGAAAATTGAGACATAATTGCTAATTATATTCAAGAGTTAGACAAAAAAGGTTTTTTAACTTATTATTTTCGCCATAAAAAATGAGATGAAAAAAGAATGCGAGAAGTAATGAATGCCTTTTTGCAAAGCATTTATGGAACTTTGAAAGAAGATAAAAGTTATCATCAATTACCACCCTTAGATTTGAATAAGCCATTTGAAGAATTAATTCCTTGAACTGAAAAAGGTGTCTATTTCGGGCACAAAACCCTAACCGCTTCTAACGATAGCGGATTAAGTTTTAATTCTCCACCCTCTAGTCCGATAATTAAACCATTTGGAGAACCGAAGCCAGAAGCAAAGCCAGAAAAAAAAAGTATTTATAATTGACTTAAAGATGGCAAAATAAACAATGCTGATTTTAATAAATGCCTTGAATTAGTCCAAAAAAATATAATTAATAGTGATTTTTATACTTTAAAAGAATTACAGCAAATTTTAAAAAAAGAAATTCCCTTAACTGTGCCTAAATTCACTTATAAGCCGAAAAAGCCCGAAACAATTGTAAGCAATTATGAACCTGAGACTGAGAAAAAAAAAGATTGAACACTAATCAGCTCGGATTTCGACGATTTTTGAGTTGAAGAATGGAAAAAAAGAAAATTTACCTATGAACAAGCAAAAGAATGAATAGATATTGGCCTTAAAATCAATGATGCTGATTTCGTTGCTTGAATAAGAAGCTTAGGAATAAATTCTGAAAAACTTTTGAATGATAACTCAATAAGCATAGAAGACTTACGCAATCAATATGAAGAATATATTGATAAATTACCAAAAGACATTTAAAAATAAAATATAAAATAATTATAGAATTATGAGAATAGAACAAAGAGAATATCACAATATAGCCGAATTTTTTAATCAATTAGAGGAAGCCAAGAAAAAATTTGAAGAAACTTATAAAGCAAAATTAATTCCTTTTGAAAGTTTTCGGGAAATTTCTGCCGAAAATTTAGAACTTGAAAGCGGAACCGGAACTGAAATAACTAGCCCGCCAACTTATTTGATTTATTTAATTAAAACTGATGAAATAACTGAATCGAATTATGAACCCGCTCCTTATTGATTACAAAGTAATCTTGCTATTTCTACTTATGAGCAATTTAAAGTTTATTTATTAAAATTTAACCCTTGGGACTTTTTTAACAATAGAACTAAAAAACTAACCTATTTATGCCATTTTGTTGAAGAGTATTTAGAAAGAGAATTAAATAATCCGGGAAAAAAACACTTAATCGAATTATTTAAGCAGTTGGAAATAGATTTAAGGACACATCAGGAGGTATTTTGGGAACAAGTAGCGGGCAAACTAACTACTTTTCCCAGCCCCGTCGTAAGCGAATTAGTTCAAGAAAAACTAGACCAAGTAAAAGAATTTATTGACCGCTCATTTGCCGGTAAAAAAGAGTTTTGCGTAGACTGGCAAGCTTTTAAGGCTCATGAAGAAGCAATTGTCAAAGATTTAGAAATAAGATTAACCGAAGGAAGCTATAAATATTTACATAATCCGCAATTGTTTTTGTCTACGGTTAATACACAGACTACTAATTATAATAATACAGTCGGCAACAGCAATACCGTGAGCGGAAATATAAGTCAAAATAAAAAAGTGGGCAAGGATTGAAGTCATCCTACCGAATACATTGAAAATAATGATAATTTCGAATTACCTATAAAAGAAGAAATTGCCGAAAATTTAGGAATATTCGGTGCACAACGGGCTCATTTAACTAAAAACCAAGAAACCAAAAAAATTGAAGAAGGAATAAAATTAAACGAAATAGACCACTTCGATGAAAATTCTAATGATGAAACTCAAACTAGCGATAATAGTCAAACCAATAATGGAAATAATACCCATTTCACTAGCCAAGAAAGCTTTAATGTTGCCTTATTACAATGAATGGATGGACTAATTGAAAGATATTTAAACCATGAAAAAATTTTAGAAAAGTTGGATTATAAATATTTTCGCTATATTTGAATATTTGGTTGCTAACTTTCTAAGCAAAGTATTAAAAATTTAACATAAAAAATCATGAATAAAAAAGAATGCCAAATTTGTCACGGAACAACCCACGAAACTGCTAATTGTATTAAGATAGACAAAAGTTTATATAAATTAAAAGTAGAAGAATTAGTAATTAAATATGCTATACTTAAAGAAATTGCTTGAAAAGGAGAAGAAAAATTAAAAGAAAAAAAAGAAAAGCTAGAAACTATTCAAGAAGTTTTGGAAGAAGATAAAAAAACTATTGAAAGACTAGAACAAGAAAAAGAAGAAAGAATAATCAGAGACAAAAATTATTCTGCGGAAATTGCTAATAATAGATTTATTTGTTATTATTGTTTAAAAAAATTAAGTTGCCAAGAAATGTTGGCCTGTATTTTAAATGATGAAGAAGGCAAAATGTTATTATGTAATTTATGCTTAAAAATAGGATGAGAAAAAGCCGATAAACTTAAAACCGCGGAAATAGGATAACATGAACTATCAATTAAAATATATTTGTCCGGAATGTAAAGGAATTCTAGAAGAAGAAGATGTTAAAGGAAAAGAACAAAATTGAACCGATATTAATAATCCGAAAACTTCAAAATGAGGCTGAAAATGTAAACATTGCCAAGAAATAGTTATTATTGACCAAAAAGGGATTATTTATTGCAACAAGCATCAAACCTTAAATGAAAACCGCGGATATGTAAAAGAATGTCATTATGGTCTAGGCACTTGGGGACCATGTCGCGAAAACCATATCTGTCAAAAATGTGCCGAAGAATTTCACCAGAAAAAAGATAAAGAATATAAACATAATTCAAATAATTCATATATCGAGCAATTCAGAAAATTAAATATTAATGATTATGCCAAAGGAAAATGAAGGCATTGTGGACAAGTTTTTAAAAATTTAGAAGAATTTATTAAACATTTAGAAAATTGTTCTAATATTCCGCACAGCAAAATACACACTAGCATAATACAAAGATGCGAAAAATGTAAGAAAATTATTGTAGAAAGCGATTATTTTGAACAAGATTTGCCTCATGATTGCCAAAGCGAACAAAAGGAAGAAAAAAAAGTTATTGAAAAGTATATAAAAGAAAATAACATTAAAAATATTAGGTTACTAAGCAATGGCGAATTAGAAATAGAATATAATGATGGAAATATAAAAATTACTAAGCCTAATGAACCTATTTTATCGCAAATAAAAAATAAAATGATTAGGGATGGACAACAAATAATTAATCAAGAACAACTGCAAGAAAATAATTTAAGCAACAAATTTACTAGTTCTAAATCTCTAATAATTTTCATTGGTGGTATTGTTTTAATTGGAATAGGAATAATTGGATTGATTTACCAAATAAAGAGATTAAAAACTTTTAATAATAAAAATGAATAACAGAATAACCACTCATGACATTCTAACCGGAGATTTTTTAGACTGTAATGCTTATGCATTTATTAATACCCATTGAGAAATAAAGACACCTAAAATACCCAACCTTAATTTTTTTGAAAAATTAAAAAGTGATATTAGGCAAGAAAGTCCCAAATATTTTCGTTTAGCCAAATTCAGATGCCGCAGATACAAAACTCAACAATTAGTAACTTCTATAAGTTATGAGGGAATCAATTGAATTTACCAAGCAACTATTTATTTTAAAGAAGATAATAATTTTTATTGAGTTAAAAATGTCGAGCGGATAAATGATGGCAGGTTAGTGATTAGTTTAGAAATTGATTGAATTGCTGCCGATTGAAGCTTAGTAGGAGAATTGAAAGGATTATATGTTTTTGATATTAAACCCTTAACCCTAGAACAAATTAAAAATATTGAAAATAGTTGTTTTTTGTGTCCAAATAATGCATCTGATGATAATTATGTTATACCAAGTTGAACTAGTTTTTCCGAAGCCTTTATCGGAGCCGCGGCAAATACAACTAAAAAAGCAAAAACAATTAAAAAAGCGGGCAAATATACTATTTGAAGGCTATTAGATGCTTCCAGTCGGCAAACTAGACATACTAATGGAAAATTTGACCGTCCCTTAGTAACTGACCATATTATGGAAAGAACCAATGAATCAAATATTGGCCTTGCGGAGTTAGCCATTTTTGTAATGCCCCAAGATAACGGAGTAGATAGCAAAATTCCTTGCCAAGAAACTGCTTTTATTCCAGAAGAATATTTAACCGAAAATTTTAATACTAATCATTATTTAAGTAACCACGGGCGATATTTAGTAAAAATTTTAGGAGAAGAAGCAGGCGAAGTCAAAGGAATTAATGTTAATAAATCACTTTCTTATTATAATGACATTTTAACAGTTAACATTAATGAAGGTTATTATGATTGGGAATTACAAATTATTCTTAATAATAATGTTTTTATCAAGCATTTTTTTATTAAAGAAATAAAAGAAAAAGGGGAAAAAACAAATTGATTAAATGTAATAGGTAGCACCATTATCGCTGCCGTTTCAATTGGAATTGCGGTCGGAAGTGGAGGAGTTACTACGGTTGGAGCATTAGGGGCAACTGCCCGAGCGGGTAAAGTTTGAGCTAATGCTTTAAATCCGGTTAAGCATTCCGCTTGTGTTGATGAAGTAACTAGCTTTTTCTACCTTAAATCAGATTATGATTTATTTGAAATAATTCCCCAAATACCTTGACAGCATTATCAAGACTATATAGGAAAAATTAATTGGCATATTTTTAATGATTATTTTCCTTTGCATAACGACGAAACAGTTCAATTAATACCTAATATAGGAAGTTTTGGCGCAAGCGGAATTAACTTATTTGGCGATTTAAACGGCTGGGTTAAATTAAGCGACAAGTGTGCAATTAATTCTGCTAATCGAGTAATAGATTTTTTAAGAAAGAATAAAGTTTTTATTTATAGCGAAAACCCACCTGAAAAAAAATATTTAAATCTTGGTAGTTATTCATATGAGCCGTTCAATTGAAGCCCAACCGAAAAAAGTGTAGATTGTAGTTGAACCACTACTCATACCAACACTAATCGACAATTAATTAACAGAGAAGAAACTTTTGTTTGAACTTATGCCAATATTAATGGAAGGCGAGAACAATGAAGAAATGGAAATACTCATAGCATAACTATCGGAGCAGGGGACACTTTCGGCACAGCTTATCAAAGATGAAATCCGAATGAAGTAACAAATTATAATGTCCAAGCCGGCGATAATATCGTTTTTAAGCCCACAGCAACCGGCGGGCAAGTAGTTGAACAATGAAGGACCACGACCCAAACTGTTACTCAAAATCATAGCATCCCAACTCAAAAATTTAAGCCTAGTAGCATAACAATAACTCCGCAAATGCGACAAGGTATTAATCCATTAAATAATTGGGGAGGAAAACCTCCTTCTTCTAATTTTGGAAGTGGTGGAAACCCCCCTCCAATGCCAAATTTAACTGTAAAAGCACCAATTTATCAGCCAACTGAACAAGTTTCAGGATTTTTGCAACCAAAACAATTAAGACGGGAAGGAATTACTGCTCCGGTTCATTCTAATATTCCTACTATTAAAAAAGACCCGTTAAATACTTCTGATTTACGGGAAAGACAACAAGAAAGAATAAGATTACAACAGCAAGAAGCACAAAGGCAACAATTGAAACCAAAAATACGAGAAGGATTTACGACCCAAACCCAACAAACACCAGCCGAGCAAACATTTATTCCCGATATTCCGGAAGAAACTATCGAAACCACTAAGGAAAGAAAAAAAATTACTGAATAAGATGAATAATATATTAAATAGTAAAGAAATCAGAAAAAGGGAAGGAGAAGAATTTATGGCCACTTATAAAAAAATGTATGGAAAGAAAGCAATTTTTCCTAAAAAACCCGAAGAGTTTCCCCTAAACCAAAATAATTTAGTAGATGAACAATTTGCTAGCATAGAAAAAAATATTAAAGTAGATTTTAAGAAAATATTTAAAGCTAAAAAACCGATTAATCTTATTTTAACTGCTACTAGTCTAGGAAAAACACTTGGAATGGCGATCTGAATTTGTAAGCAGTTATTAAGCGAAGAGAAAAAATGTTTTGTCTGAATAAGAAGATACGAAAAAGAATTTCAAAGCACGGTTAAGCCAATGTTTCAAAATCTATTAGGAAAGGAAGCAAAAGTTACTTTAAATGGTGTTTTTATAAAGAATAAGATAGTAGTTTATTTTATTATTTTGAACCAATACTATAATTATAAAGGATTGACTGGTATTGCTGACGAATTGCAAGCGATTATTTTTGATGAAGCCATACCGTTAAATAAAAGATATTTAGATGATGAATACAAAACCGAAGAAGAAAAGTTTAGTGATGTAATTAATGTAGTAACCCGCAATGCGAACGACAAGCCAATTTATTTTCTTTGTAATCCAAACGCTAAGGGAGCATGAATTATTCAAAAATGAGCCCCTAATTATAAACCAAGCAACGAAAAAGAAAAAATAGAAACTAAAAAAATGGTTTTAATTTATTCAATGCCTTGACCGCAAAACAAAAACAGAGGAATTATTGATTATTTAGAAAGTTTGGAGACCAAACGGATTAATAAAGAAGGATTATTTCCCCAAGCGGAGGATTTATTTATAATTAACGAAAAATCTACCGAATATCTTTATTCTTTTATAATTAAAGGTAAAGAAATGGAATTTG